CACACACACACACACACACACACACACACACACACACACCTCTGTTCCTCTCTCTCTTTCTCTCTCTCGATCGCGCGCGCGCATGCGCGTATACACACACACAACTTTCCCCGCACCTCCCGGCGCCGCGCAGCTTTCCCTCGCGCGCGCACACACACCTCTCTCTCTCTCTCTCTCGCGCGCGCGCGCGTGCGCGCGCCCATACACACACACACAGCTTTCCCCGCACCTCCCCACGCCGCGCAACTTTCCCCGGCGCGCACACACACACACACACACACACACACACACACACACACACACACACGCACAGACACATACACACACACACACATACACACACACTCACAATCAATCAATCCATCCTTTTTTTTTCAAGTTTTTTGCTAGGTTGTTGGATCGGACGTCCGGGACCCCCCTGACCGTCTGGGATGTCCAAACCGGACGTCTGGTCGGAAGTCCGACCGGACAGGGGTTGTCCGACCTCGCGCGCGCAAAAAAAAAAAAGGAGTTCTCAGAAAAATCTGAAAAACATATATGTTATGTAACATAACAATACAAGCAACTTTTGCCTTGGAAACATGTTCAAGTTCGCAGTCAGTCATGAGTTAAAAATCGAAAACCGAAACAAATATATATATATTTTTTTACGAATTTTTTTTTTTTCCCTCGGATGACGGGGGTACTGGACGTATGGGGGAGACGTCCGGGGAGACGACCGGCCCCCGGACCATTGGTAACCTAGGTTTTCTGTTTATTGATTTTCAAATTTTGCATCTTTATTTTTCTAAAACACCTCATACCCCTGCAAAAAACAGAAATTCATTTCTAAGAAATACAGGTGAGCTCACGGACCATATATCTGATGATAAAAAATGGCAAAAAAAAAATCCAGCTTTTTTTTATATTTGTTTTTTTTATTTTTTTTTAAATCGAATTTAGGTTGTATTTTTTAAAAATTCCTAAACAAAGTCGGCTTCCAAAAAAAACAATATGGGGTTGTAGGGCTTAAAATTTCCTACAACCTCATGTTTTTTTTTGTTTTTTTTACCTATTATTGAATTCAGGAAAAATCTGGTAAAATCGGGTCCGCTCCACGGATCCGGTAGGCCGCGGAGGCGGCCGTGAATACGTCCGCCCTCTGAGCTCGGCCCCTCGGACGAGTGCGGGGATGTTTCATAGGCTGAAACGTCAGTATGTATCTGCGTGTCCAAACCCTAACCCAAACCTTTACCTTGCAGACTGTGGAAAATCCCTAACCTAAACCCTAACCTTGCAGACTGTGGAAAATCTGTTGAATGGGAGAAATGGAAAATATGTTGAATGGCCCCCGTGATACATTTTGCAGCGAAAAAGATTTTTTTTCTTGTTTTATAATATTTTTCCTAGAAAGATCACAACCAATTATATGCATTCGGAAATTTTCATTGAGCTCAAAACATGACGGAAGATGTAGTACTTTTGAGTTGGCCGGCACATGGCATAGTGGCGAAAATGGAAAAAGAACTGAATTTGCACGGTGATTGTTTCAAGATTTAAATGATTTTTTATTTTACTTTATTTTTTTACTGGAAATATTAGTGAAGTTGCAATACTTTTCCATATGTTTTCACGCATTCTTCGAAATGGGAAATATTAGTGAAGTTGCAATACTTTTTCCCTTGGCCGGCAAATGGCGGAGTGCAGAAATGGTGAAAGCCTCGAAACGACGCAGCAACTATTTTATTGTCAAATTCAATTTTTAAATTTTTTTGGATATCTTTCCTTTCAAGATCACAATCTAATCTATGGATCACAATTTTTCAAATTGTCATGTGCATTATTCTGAGCGCGAAAAATCGACAAACTTGCCACATACAAACTATTTTTTTTGCCGCCCATTTGTAATACTTAACAAGTCCCCGACCCTGGGCAGGAGTTGTGTGTGTGTGTGGTTAAGCAAGACATGGTACCAAGGTTGTCATGAGGGAAGCCCAAGGGCCCAATCCGGGACAGGAGTTTCACACCGAACCCCCGCCCCTGCCCCAACCCTGGCACCACTAGCCTCGCCCCGCACTCACGCCCCCGCACTCCGCACCCAACACCC